TCACTTCTTCCATTTGCTTTAGCATCTCTATGATGAAGAGCAAGTTTCAGAGTTTCTTCTGACATCAGTTTTGGTCTTTTTCTTATCTCTTGTCTTCTTGATGACCTTTGGCTTTCTTCTTGTATGATGTACTTGATGTCATCCCACAACTCTCTGGTCTTCGGTCTTTACTATCTAATGCATCAAATCTGTTCTTGAGATGATATCTAAATTCAGTTGGGATATATTCAAGGTCACATTTTGGTTCTCGTGGACTTGTTTTCATTTTCTTCAGCTTTAGCTGAATTTGCATATGAGCAATTGATGGTCTGTTTCAGAGTCTTCCCCTGGCCTTGTTTTGGCTGATGATCTCTTTCCACAGATGTAGTCAATTTTATTTCTGTGTATTCTATCTGGTAGGTCCATGTCTTTTATGTTGTTTAAAAAGATATTTGCATTGCACAAGTCATTGGTCTTGCAAAATTCTATAATGCAATATCCAGCATAATTTCTCTCACCAAGGCCATGTTTTTCAACTACTGATCCTTTCTTTTTATTTCCAACCTTTGCATTCCAATAGCCATCAATACATCTTGACTGCACAGTTGATCTATTTCAGATTGAAAAAGTTGATAGAATTCAATTTCATCATCACTGGCTTTCGTGGTTGGTGCATATATTTGAATAATAGTGGTATTAACTGGTATTAACCAGCCCTATAGAAACCAAAATTCCTCTCTTAAGACAAACATTCTAGAAATTTGAAATGTATGAAGATTTGGAACAGTAGGGACATTAATTGAATCCCAGGCTCACCACTTACAACCAGTGCATCCTGAGCAGATTACTGAATCCCTCTGGGTATGCTTACTTTTTTATTCCTCCAAAATATGTGAGCTGTAACTGAGGACGCAATACAGGTGAAAAAGAATGAGAAAGCTCTTTGTGTACTCATTTTAAATGATTTCCAGAATATACTATTATGTGAAAAAAGATGGGTACAGAAATGTGTGTCATTTGTGTTTAAAAAAAGGGGGGGTACATAATACATCTACCACCTGTCAGTTTGTTGTACTGTGGTACCTTGCATGTTGCTGTAAGCTATGCTGCCAGTATTTCAAATACCAGCAGTGTCACCCATGGTGGAGACTTCAGCAGAGTTTCTACACTTAGATTAGGAAGAAAGCCTGGCCATCTATTTCTGAAAATTAGCCAGTGGGACCCCTATGGATCACAACACAATACAGTCTGATACAGTGCTGGAAGATGAGGCACCCTAGGTTAGAAGGCACTCAAAATACACAGTGGTCACAACAACGGGCTTCAGCATACCAATAATGGTGACGATTCACAGGACTGGGAAGTGTCTTGTTCTGTTATACACAGAGTGGCTATGAATAAGAGCCAACTTGACAGCAACTAACAACAGCATGTAATATATAAGGACAAGTCAAAAAGTATTGCTACAAAATTATAGAAACCTTATTAAACAAAAATATCAAAATGTGAAGCTATTGTTTCTTGACATAGTCTCCAGCTACTCTATACATGGAATCCTGGTATGGCACTGTCGACTACTAACCACAGGTCAACAGTTCAAACACACCACCCACTCCTTGGAAACACTATCTGTACAGGATTGCTATGAGTTGGCATTTTCCAACAATAAGTCTATACATGTCCATCTAGTTTGCCTTTCCCCAAAGAATTTTATGCTCTTCAATTTTCTCTTCTTCTTAAGTGCTGTCGAGTCAGTTCTGACCCATACTGACCCTGAGGGTTTCTGGGGAGCAGTTGGTGAGCTTGACTCACCATGTCAAATCAGCAGTCTTGACATCCTCAAGGGGCTCAAATCATGTTCCTGTTCTTTTAAAATGCATTTTGAGTTTGGGAGACAAAAAGAAGTCTGAATGGGGTAAGATCAGGGTTGAAGGGGAATAGGGGAAATTCCCCGCCAAATTCTCATAGGACAGCCCCTTGCTGCCCTCTAAGAATGAGTAAGTGCATTTTGTAATGGAAAAATATTCTTCAGTGCAACTTTCCTTGCCTTTTTCTCACCAATGTAATTTTCAATTTTCTTAAAACTTCTTTATAAATGAGCCCCTGTGATTATCCTATGTCCTTGAAAAACATCTATCAGGATTATCCCTTTGGAATTCCAGAAAATGGTTACTATAACTTTCTGAGCTGACTTCTCTGCCTTCATTTAACTGGCCTAGTACATCCCCTTAAAAGCTACTACTTTGTTTGGACCTTGTATTTGAAGGCACCCTAATGAGACTAAGAGGGGGCTAGAATGATGCTGTAGGATAAGCACTGGACTTTTAATCGCAAGGTTGAGAGTTCAAACCTTTCAGGGGCTTCTTGGAAACCCTGACTCAACATCACTTAACAACAAGGAGACTAAAACTTGTGTATTACTGAAAGAATTTGTCTGCACACATCCACTGATTACAGACCCATGTTTAAACACATTTTGTTTGGAATAGACCTGTGTATGTATCAATTGGAACCCAAATATACATACATACTTAACAACTCATATATATAAATCACCTGTTGCCATTGAGTACTTTATGACTCACGCTAACCAACAGAACAGAGTAGAACTGCTACGTAAGATTTATGGAAGCAGATTGCTAGGTCTTTTCTCCCACAGAGCTACTGGCAAGGCTGAACCGCCAAACTTTCAGTTACTAGTTAATTGCTTAACCATTGTACTATCAGGGACTTCATATACATATATGGAGTCCTGGTGTGGCACTGTAGGATAAGCACTGGACCACAAGGTTGTTTGAACCACAAGGTTGGAGGTTCAAGCTCACTAGCTGCTCCTCGGAAACTATACAGGGTCTCTATGGAGAACCAATGCCATGGCACACAACAACAAAACAACAACATATACATACATACTCTATATATACATAAATAGAGTGTAGACAGGAAAGGGCCTAGACACCATCCCTGCAATAAGGTCTTTTGTTAAGTGGTGTCTAGTTGGTTCCGACTCATTGGGACCCTGTGTAGGGTTTCCAAAAAATGGCTGATGAGTTTAAACCTCCGACCTTACAATTCAAACCGAAACTTGCAGTCTAGTGCTTTTCCTGCAGCGCCACACCAGAACTCCAAATAAGGTCCTATAGGTCCTCTGTTAACCTTGGTGTACAGACGCATCGCCCACTGGCAGCTACACCCCCTCCCCTCCAACATATACACACACACTGTGCGCTTACCTCCGCCACCATTTCCAAAGTGAGGTTGTTGCCGGCATAGAAGTATGCGGGGCCTGCAGTGCCGAGAGCTCTCAGTAGAGCGGCCAGATCCGGACGACGCATCTGTGAGCCAGGTAGCAGGGGGCGACCAGACGGCAGGAACGTCTCCCGGAAACGTTCAGTCGTATTGGAAGGTGGCTGCTCCACCAGGGCGCGGGCTGGGGGTAGGGGGTAGGGGTGGGAGGCTGGGCGGAAGGCGCGAGTACTGGACAGGATGACTGAGACGCTTAGTTAAGTGGCGTGGGTGAGGGCTGGGGGGCCGACCCTGCGCATTCCAGTCCCCAGGATCCAGTTATGGGGTGTATATGGCCCCCTCCCACATCTCTCATTGGAGACTGCCTCCAGATGAATGGGAAGGGATGGGGAGAGGGTCTGAGGAGCAAACTGGAATAGAAGTCCTCTCTGGCTTGTGCCCCAAATCTCAGTTGTTCCCCTCCCTTCTTCACTGACTGCGTGCCTCTCCCCCCACCCCCAGACCCCACTGACCTAGATCATGAGTCACGTTGAAGCCATCTTGGGCCACAGCTGCAGCGAAAGCCAGGACTTGAGACCATGGCAGCCTGGGGGGGCCGGAGAGCAGGGGGTGGAGGGAGTCCTGGGGAAGGAGGAGGGGTCTTGGGGGGCGGGGGGTCCCTGGAAAGGAGAATCCTGGCACGGGAAGGGGATATTAGGAGCGGGAAGAGTTTGGGAAGGGAAGAATCCAGGAAGATGGGAGACGACCACCCAGGGAAGGGTGCAGATAGAGCTCCTGGACCCAGGGGAAGAGTCTTTACCTGCCATAGAGCTGATGAGCTTCGTATAACCCTTTCACCATTCCGGGGACCCCCACCAAGAGCCCAGGCTGGGCGAGGCGGGCAGGCGAGGGAGAGAGGAGACCAGGTCACTGGAAGGGGGGGGCTGGGCTGAACTCCGCAGAGCCCCAAGCCAGGGATGGGGGCTGGCACAGGGGAAAGACACAGGCCAAGTATCCCAGGGGAGGGACTAGCTCTCCCCATCAGGCAGCCCAAGGATAGGGGTAGGTCATAGTCCTGTTTCCCCCAATAGAATTCTACCAGTCCCATCTCCCTGACTTCCTATCAGCAAATAAGGAAAGGCCTTTATCTAAAACAGTTGAAGTATTTATAAACGAAATAAACTCTTTTGAGAGCCAAGATATAATTTAGATGGAAACTTCTCTAATTGGATACTTACCCCTGCCTTTTAAAATGGTGGATAAGGAAACTTCATTTGATCTTTTATCATGTTATCATTACTTTGGGCTGTGATAACTCAGGTGTACGTCTGGCTTTTGCCACTGCACTAAATATTACCCCTACTTTTTGTTCTTGTATCTATTTTTCCAAGTGTTTCTACTTCCTCTTTTGCTCTTAGCTGACAATGGGTTTGTTTCTAGCAGTTGCTCTCTATTATTCCAATATGTTCTGAGCTAGTAAAGAGTGAACAGGCCTAGTGCAGCAACTTCATGATGTCTTGGGCAACTCAGTGGTCTTTTTTCTATGTGCAGATAGGCAAGGCTGCCAGACATGTAATGTGATGCAACACTGCCTGTTATCAACCATCTAGATTTTCTGTTTTATTACTTGGGAATTGCCTACCTCCTTCATAGTCTAAGAGTACCCTACTCAACTCTTTTTCCCACCTCTATGTAAGTTGGTACAGGTCGGAAGTGACTCAATGGCACTTAACAACATATAAATCCTAGTGTGGCATTGTCAGATAATGCACTGAACCGCAAGGTCAGTTTCAGTGGTTCAAATTCACTAGCCATTCCAAGGAAACCCTATACAGGGTCACTATGAACAACACTATGAGTCAGAACCGACTTAACAACACTTAACAACAACAACGGGGAGTCCTAGTGTGATACCATAAGATAAGCACTGGACTGCTAACTGAAAGACTGGTGGTTCAAACCCACAGCCACTATTTGGAAACCCGATACAGGTTTTCATGAATTACCATGAATTCTCTATGAATTGCTGACTAGGCAGCAGTTGATGACAGCAACATGACACGGTGGTCAAGAACTCGGCTGTTAACCAAAAGGTCAGTGGTTCAAATCTACCACCTCCTCCATGGGAGAGCGATGTAGCAGTCTGCTTCTGCCAAGATTTACAGCCTTGGAAAATCTATGGGGGCAGTTCTCCTCTGTTCTATAGGGTTGCTATGAGTCAGAATTGACTCTGTGGCAGTAGACTTTGGTGGATGGTGGTACAGTAGTTAGGCACTCAGCTGCGAACCAAAAAGTTGATGGCTTGAATCCACCAGCCCCACTGTAGGAGAAAGAACTGGCAGCCTTGAAAAACCTATGGGTCAGTTCTCTGTTGTATAATAAGTCAGAGTACACTCATGGCACATAGCAACATAGCGAATACTCAGCAAAGTAATGCTTGAGTTAGCAAAAGGGCAGTGAAGGGAGACCTGCCCTCCCCCCCCTCCCCCCCATGAAGTGTTCCCACTAAGGTCCCCACCTTGGTCTCCCAGGATCTCTGCAGGGCCTCCTCCCTGAGGGCCCCTGGTGCAGACTCCCGGAAATCAATCAGTCGGCTCTTGTTTCGCCTGATGTCATGTACTAGCATCACGCCCCCTCTGGGAGAGAGACACAAAGGGGCGAGTGATTAAGATGCCACCTCTCTGAGCAATTAACTTGTCACCCCCAGCTCTCCAATGGCAAGAATTGTAGGGCATCTTTTATTGGTTTCAGGTGTCTATCCCCCTCCCAAACAGGGATTCAGAGACTCTTTCCACCCTAATAGGGTGGGAAGTGAAGCTAAGGGGGTTGGGGACCCAGGGTCCATAGGCCTCTTGCAATCTGTCATTGGAGATTTTAATCCCCATTTGGGAAAACCTAGAGACTGGACAAGCAGGATATTCTGTCCCCATATCCACCCAAAACTGGATCCCTGCCAACTTCCTGCACCTGTCTGCTAGGTGTGCCCTTCCCCCTCCCCAGAGCTACATTATGTAAGGTCAGACTGGGCAAAACCAAATGGGAAGTTTCTTGGTAGGACCTGGAGGGTTGGTGCTATAAGAGCCAAGATGTGAACTTTACTAACTTGTCCCGTTTCTGTAACTTGTTTTCATCTAAGATAGAGGTTGCAAACTCAAATGCCTACAGCTAAGTCACAAAATGAGGAAACAGGACAGCTAGATATACAATAGGAACGATGACACCATGGACAACAGTCTCCCATCAGGGGAAGCACTTTCTACTCAGTTCCAGCTAATTGAAAGCATTTGGGAATGTGGGTCCAATGTTATCAGCTCTCTGATTGTTCAAGAGATGTTGGAAATTTGAAAATTTTTTTGGATGATGACTCTCACTTTTTAACAAGAGCAATGAATGGAAAAAAAAAAAATTAAAGTGTGCAAACCAAAGCAGTATGTGTGGTAGGTGTGACCTGTGAGTGACCAGTCTGGAACCTGTTTTATGAATTCTTAGCCTGTGTAGATGGTCCCATAGCCTTTACTGAGGACAGTGATCACCTGGGCACTTCATTTTATAATTTATAAATTTCTGTTTCCAGTAGAGAAATGTTTAATATCATATTCAGATCTTCATCAAGTAGTTTAGCATCTTTGACTCCGTCTCCAGGGAGGAGGGGGTGAGTTTGGGAGTAGAAAGAAAATGTTCAAGGAACTGTCCCAAGTGAAAAATCCCCAGTGAGACTGACAGACCAGGGGGTAAAAAGTAGGTCTGGGTGACCCCCAACCTTGACAGCTAGATGGTTCTTACCCGCCCAGGCCAGAGCTGTGTGGGGCAACGATTCCCAAACACAGGGCAGCCGCCACAGCCGCATCCACAGAAGATCCATGCTTAGTGAGCACCTCAATTCCCAGCGATGTGCAGCGGGCAGCATCCGTCACCACTGCACCCTGTTGGAAAATCTGGGGGGAGAAGGGACTAGGTGGGGGCAGTAGGAACCCTCTGCCTTCTTAAGCCACCTCCACAGACTCCAGAAGCTCCATAGAGGGTAGGAGTAGGACCTCTGTCCTCTTGTCCCCTTGACTCTCCCCTTGACTACCAGAAGTCCCTTCTACCTGATTGAGTTTCTTTGTTCTGTCCTATCATACCAGAGTGGCTTCCTTTGAGACCCGCTCTCCCAAGTCACTACCCTCACTTCTTCCCACTACCGGTCAATTCCTCAAATCCCAGTCTTCTCAATCACTCCCTTATCCCCACTCTTGCCCAGTTCCCTCCCTTTGCCCCTCAGTCCCCTTCACCTGAGGGTCCCCGAAGTAGATCTGCATGATGAGCGCCACAGTGACTCCCGTGGCGAAGGTGAGGCAGGCTGTGACGATGACCGTGAGTCCATCCTGGCGACAGGAACATTCTGCCGCTGCCGCCGAAAATGGGTCCTTGCGAGTCTCCCGCAGCGGTGACCCGTCCGGGCTGCCCATCTCCGAGGAAGACGAAGGCAATCGTTGCAGCCGAGCCGACTTTAGGAAGGAATCTGGGTCTGCGGGTGGGTGTGAGGGTCGGGGTGCGTTTGGTCTGCCCCCTACCGGTCCCTGTGTTTTCTTCAGGCTGAGCTATTCGAGAACCCCTCCACCTCCACCAATCCCCACTACCAGCACAGCTCAATTTACAGCGCCTCCCCACACCCTCAGGGTGGAAGACAGGGACCCCCAGCTAGGCTGGATTCCTGCCCTGGCTGATACCTAAACTAAATTTCCCTGGACCCCAGATTGAGAACACTTGGAGAGGCTGGTGGACGGTGAGAGGTAGCGGTTAAGCCCTTCTTGGAAACCAGATCCTACAGGAGCTGGGGCCCAGCATTCTGCTCAAGGAGGAAGTTACATGAGCTGAGTGGGCAGATTCTGGCTTCCACAATCCATTCATCCATTCAACAAATATGAGGGCCTGCTTTGTGTCTGGGCCTATGCTAAATGCTAGGGGAAGGTACAGATCATGTTAAGGGGCTCACAGACCAGGGGAAGAAAAAGACAATAAATTGACAAAGAAGTACATAATTGCACATTGTGGTACATGCTATGAATAAAAAAAAGGATAGTAATAGCAAAGGACTACTTAGCTGGGAAAATCAGGGAAGGCCTCTCTGTGGAGGAGACTTTGAAGCTGATGATACAGATCTAGTCATAAGTAGAACAAGGTGTGCATGTATAATGTTCTAGAAAATGGGAGCAGTAGATACAAAGGCCCTAATCTGGGAATAAGCTTGGCACTTTAGAAGAAAATGACCAAGGACTGAGTGGCTTGGGTGTAGGGACAAGGGATAAGAGGAGTAGCGGGGGAGGCTAGACGAGATACACTACTCTATGTGGACCTAGTGAAGAGCTTAGATTTTACCCTAAGGGTGATGGGAGGCCATTGGAGAGTTATAAGCAAGAACATGAGGCCATCTGTTTTATGTTTTCAAAAAATCCCTCTGGGTGCTCTCTGGAGAACAGATGGAAGAACCAAAAAAGTCAATTGCAAGAGCTTCACCTTCTCTTAATAATGGAGCTAACCAATAACTGGCAGGATAGGTACAAGGATTCCAAGAGATGATGTATCCTTTAGGTGCTCACTCAAAGTTATTTCCATTTCTTTCCTCACTTTGACCAGGGCTGGAACTCAATTCCATCCTAGAATTCTCTCCTCTGGGTGCTATGAGCTGTGAATCCAAGCCCAAGGAGTCCTGGTGTGGTGTTATGGGTTAATGCGCTGGACTACAAAGTCACTTTGAACCACAAGGTTGGTTGTTCAAGCTCACCAGCCACTCGTTGGTACTGACTCAATGGCATTTAAAAAAAACAACAAAGGAGCTAAAGGTCCAGGGTGTTTGTGAACAGGAAAGAAATAATCTGGTACCTTTATATCTTGCTGTACTCACTAGTTTTAAAAAAGGTAATTTCTTCAGTAAATTTTTGAATACTTACTACTCTGCACTGGAGTTCTGGCATGGCACTGTAAGAGAAACACTTGACGGCAAGGTGAGTTTGAACCACAAGGCTGGCGGTTCAAACTCACCAGCTGCTCCTCAGAAACCCTGTACAGTGTCGCTATGAATTAGAACCAACTAGATGGCACTTAACAACAACAGTTATACTGCACTAGGCATATCGGTTCTTTAAATGTCTATGTGATAATATTAAAAATTGGTTGTTATGTTGTTCTATTTACATTCTATCATGGCTCATCCATGCCAACAAGATAAAATCCAAGCTTCACGGACTGGCATTCAAGGCCCTCCATGATCCATACCTCCCCATTCTATATAAATAAGAAACTGCATAAATATATTAAAATGCTGATATATGTGAAACACTTTAAAAAATTATTTACAGTGGCTAATTTTGGGAAAAATATACCAAAGGTGTGAATGAGATGGGGAAGAGAGAATTCTTTTCTGAAATTCTTACCATATAAATATATATTTGATTTTTAAAAATCAATAAATACATTTTTCAACAACAAGGAAAAAATTCCCTCCTTAAATGGGAGGAGATAGGATGGAGATTTTAACTTTTCTTGTTTATTGCTTTTTTCTTTAAAACTATGAACATGTAATGTACTTTGAAATTTTTGCCCTTACCAAGAAGAGCTCTCTTCTGGAGGCCTCCCTCAGTTGATCACATTTGCTTCTAACCCTCAGCAGCAGAGTCTACAAATAAAACTGGAATTCATTCACTAAACAGATGTTAAATACCTACTGTGGGCATAGAACTCTCTCTCGTTGGCTTCTAGAGGTTTCAAAAGAAATGCAGGGAAGGACCTTGAACTTACATTATATCCATTTCCTCAGTGATGTGGTCCCATGACTTTATGAGATAGGTCCTACTCTCCCACTTTTGAGGTAAGAAAACTGAGTATGAAAAAGGTGATAGTGTCTGCTCAAGGTTATAAGGTCAATAAAGATCAGAAGATTCTACATAACTGAAAAGACTCCTTTCCATTGTTCCATATAGCATCAGGACCCATTTCCACCCTCAAAATTCAACCTTACAAGCTAATTCTACTTGATATTTCCTGGTTGTTGTCCCTAAAGCTGTTTTCTCCAATCAAAGCTGAGAAGTCATCAGAGCTGGATCTACTCAAGGCTCCCTATTTCAACCATTCAGTCAGTCATTAAATTATTCAAGTATTTTCTTTTTATTAAATTTTATGGAGTACCTATTATGTGTACTGTGTAAGAATTAGGACAATAATACCAGTATGTAAGACTGATATCAGGATGTTGGGAAATTTTCAATTTGGGACCAGGAGAAACAAGTCTTTTTGGAGAAAGATCATGAATTTAATTTTGGCTATTTTGAATTGGTAGGAAACCAGAAGGAACTGTCTGGAGGTGGCTGGCCTATTATACAATGAATTTTTATCTGCTTAGACAACATTACCCATTCTTAAGATAAGAGTACCTCAATTTTCTTTCAGGGGTCACCAACTGTCTCATCCTGTAGCAGACTATGTATATGACCCAGATCTGGTCATTCAGCCCTTCTACAGTGATTGGTTCAGAAACAGGCACGTGATCAAAATCAAATCAATGAGACTTGAACCTTCTACTTCTGCTGGAACTACTGGGAAAGAAGAAGGCTCTCTTTCTGTCTAGGTTGCTAAGTTGAAAGGATGTAAGCTTATAACTGTTGGAGGCATCTTGCCCCCACAAGATGAGTGGCTTTCTAAAGATGAAGTCAACAAAAAGGAAGGCAGAGAAAAAAGATAGAGAAAAATCAACTCTTTTTTTAAGCACCTCGATCCAGCTAAGGAGCTCCTGAGTGGTGCATATGGTTAAACAGTCAGCTATTACCCGAAAGGTTGGTGATTCAAATCCACCGAATTTACTCAGAAGAAAGGCCAAGAGCTCTATTTCTGAAAGATCATAGTTACTGAAACCCTGTGGAGTATAGTTCTATTTTGAAGCAAATGGGTATTCATGAATTGGAATCAACTCTACAGTAACTTTTGTTTTTGATTTGTTTTTGTATCCAGCTTGCGGCCCAACATTCTTGGATTTCTCAGTTATGCTGCCCAATAAAGTTATTTTCTTAAATTTAGCTCACTTTTGGCTGAGTTTATGACAAAACCAAAAAATCAAACATGTAAAACCCCAACATAAAATAAAACAAACAAAACCTGAACACATGTGGGGGAAGGTAGAATTCCCACTGAATAGTTTTCATCTTGTCTACACCAGTCTGGTGAAAAGAGGTGGGGTAAGATTCTTACAATCCAATAGTAAGTAATTGTTATCATGACTAACTGTGACCGTCACAACTGTAAAGGTAGAAGTTTTGTAACAAAAAGAGGGGAGTAGTTAATCTTACAGTCCAGGTACAGAGACCCTAGGACCATCAAGGGAGAAGAGCATGAGCAGAATATGGGACCCTATTCAGAGAAGCATTGACACCAGAGATGAAGACAGATAAGGGCATGGAGATAGAGAGCAGCTGAGGACTCTAAGACTCATGGAAAGAGAAAGGCTGTGTGCTGGTAGCCAGGTGCTGATGGCTAGGAGGCAGGCTTGCAGAATGTGTCCTTTGGTTATTTAAATGATTATATACTCCAGAGTGTTTTTGTGTACATACCCCCCCCAACCAAATAAAAACAAAACAAAAAACCCCAGAGGTAATAAAAGCAAATACTGTTGAATGATGATGCACAGAGGAGACTGTAATAATTGCAATGAAGCGATGAATGTAAAACTGATGTTTCTCCATGTAAACTATCACTCAATTCACAATAAAAACTAAAAAAAAAAAACCCCACAAAACCTGAACACAGTTGACTATGTAGGTCCAGAGCTCAGGAGAGAGATGTTGGATGAAGAGTGCTCCCTTAAGAAGAGAATCACCAGATTTTTGAACTAGGAGTGACATAATCAGAAATAGGGTAGTACATGGATTGGGCTGAATGGGAAAAGGCAGGAGGCAGGAACAGTAGCTAGGAGCCTGTGAGGTAATATGGGTGAAAAAAGGATGGTGGCTTAGTCTACAGTGGTAGTGACAGGGATGTATTCAGAAAACATTTAGAGAAGGATAGAGAATACCTGATCACCATTTGGAAGTATCATTAATTGAGAATGACAATGGGGGAAGAGCAGGAGTGTGGTAAGAGATGATGACGTCAGCATAGGTCATACTGAAGGTGAGGTACTTTCAGGACATTTAGCGGCGATACACTCAGTTAAATAACCAAAGGACACGTTCTGCAAGCCTGAATTCTGGCCACCAGCACCTTTCTTCTCAGGAGAAAAGAAAGAGTTTCCTCAACCTCAAAATAGTAACCATACAACTCTATTTTCCAGAGGGTCTAATGGGTGTCTGGCACTTAGTTCTGCAGAGCAGCAGATTAAGAGGATAGGGCAGTACCACTAGGTGGCACCATCAGGTTGGGAACACAGGGATGGTCCTATTAGCCAGAAGGCTGGTCCAGCTGGCCAATGAGCTAAGGGGCTTGGAAGTAGGACTGGGAGCCAAGGCATTGAAATTATTACATAGACAGCACAGATTACATAGATTTCAAGGTCCTTGAAATCTACACAGTCCTTGAAATCCACAAGTCTCTTGGAGCCTTGGTTAGCCACCTGTCAAAAGTTCAGGATTTCTGTACATATGAAACAGAGCCTGTATTGAACTCCCCAAGGCACTCACTGCCATTCTTTCATCTTGCTACCCTCTCCCTCATTCATTTATTAATTCTACAATTTTATTTTTCAGTGTCCACAAAATGGTAAGTACTGTGCTGGATTCTAGAGAAAGGGTGGTGAAGAAAACAGTCACGATCCCTGCCTTTATGAGGTTTACAGACAGAGTAATCACATAATTATACAAGTAAATAATCACAGGTTATAATAAATGTTAAAGGAGCTCTGGTAGCGTAGTGGTTATGAATCGGGCTGTGAACCGCAAGGTCAGCAGTTCGAAACTACCAGCTGTTCCACAGGAGAAAGATGAGGCTTTCTGCTCCTGTAAAGATTACAGCCTCGGAAACCCTCCTGTACAGAGCCGCTATGAATTGGAACCAACTCCACGGCACACAACAACAACAACAACAACAATCAATGCTAAGACATTTATAGAGGGCCAGGGGAAAATATACTAGGGGTTGTCAATCTCTGGCTAGGAGAACTAGGCATTTCCTGTTGAACTTTTAGAAAACAGGACAAGGCTTACTACAGGAAAATTGTGCCCAGTGTCACATAGTGCGTCAGGTAGTGCTGGGACCAGACAAGCACTTCTGATTCCAGACTCTGTAATGGACCTGATTTTACGAAGGAAAATCAACCAGGGCACATTTCCCCACTCCTCTTGCAACTACCTCCTGGCTCCAGGGCTAACTACTGTTGTTGTTAAGTGACGTGGAGTCGGTTTTGACTCATAGCAAACCTTGTATAGGGTTTCTACAGGGTGGCTGGTGGGTTTGAAGTTGTGGTTAGCAATCCAGTGCTTATTCTACAGCACCACATCAGGAATCCCACTTCAGGGCTACTCTAAAAAAAAGTTTGATCTGTAGCCCTGATATCTGATATCTATAAACCCCACATTCCACCTTCACTCCTACCCACCCTAGTTAGGGTGCAGTCAAGTTAATAGGGGTTGCTGCTTCCCTTCTGGAGGGGGACAGACTCTGGTGCTCTCCAGCTAGCAGTAGTTCTGGAAGGGCTAAGCCAGAGAGAGCAGAGAAGCAGGATCTGTCAAGCTGGTAAAGGATAGGGCTCAAGTGCAGACACCAGAGGAAGACAGAGTGAGACAGAAGGATGCTCTAATGCCAGGAAGTGACGTTGAGGGGATGAGGGATGAAGAATGGAGGGGAGGATGAAGCTCAGCCACATGGACAGGAAGAAGAGCAGGAAGAAAGGGATGTTCAAAGAGCTCTAGGTTTCCAGGTCTCCCCAAACCCTATGTCCTTTCTCCATATCCCTCCCCACATTTGCAGTTCTTAAAGAGGATTACGGAATCACAGTAAAATCCTGGAGCTTGCTTCCTAGAGGGCAGGGTTCCTTACCAACATCCCAGCCTGGTCCATGGTTCCAAGAAGGGTGAGGTAATCCATAAAACAGCGATGGCACCCAGCTCTCTAATCCCCAAGGACTTTGAGAGGTCATGCAGTCCATCCCCCTGTCTCTCAATACCCAGTACACCCTGACAGATAGGAATTGTATTCTTTTTACCCCTCTTGGACATGAAGAGATTCTCAGTGTCTCCCCTTCCTATGATCCCAGCCTGTAGGGAAGTTCTTCTCTAGTCTTAGCCTCCATCCTTCCTGCTGCAGTCTCTGACTTGGTTCCTCCTATCTCCTCTGCGGCTAAGAAAAACCTCTTCTGTGTAGTAACAGTTGCTCCTTAAGATTTCTCCTCCAACATTCCTTCCTGTCTGGTTGGTGCTTCACAAGAGGTAACCCCAAACCATCCTACTGCAGTTCCTGGCATCGTTTTCCCTTGTCGCATCCTAGCATCCTAAGCCTCCAAGACAGAAATGCACTCCCACCCCCACCCCACCAGATATTTATCAGAGACCAGGGAAGAGAACGGAAAGGTCCAGGAAAATGGGAAGAAATTAGGAGAATGGAGGCTGGAGGAGGATGCTACCACACAGATGATGGAGGACCCGGATGTCCCAAGGCGGGAGAGGGGCAGGGCCAGCGGGCCTCACCAGTTTCGGGGTCTCCCAAGAAAGCGTCCTCGTCCTTGCGGCCCCGCAGCGGGGCAGCAGGTGCCGGCTCGTCTTCCGGCAGCCGCGGGAAGCTGGTGATGCTCATGTAGTCCACCGGAGAGTAGGCGCCCAGGGCGCTCTCCTGGCTGGCCTCGTTCTCCGCCGCCATCCTAGCCCGCGCCCCCCAGCAGCGCAGCGCCTGCCGGAAGTGGCTGAGGCGGGGGTGTGTGTGGGGGAGGCAGAGGGCGGGGCCTGAGTTCCTGGACTACCGCGAGGGGGCGTCTCGCCCTCGCCCTCGCCCTCAACAGTGCCCAGGTCTGACTCGTGCCCTCCTCCTTAGTGTGATGGGCCTGTAGTGGGCACGCAGGTTGGGGTGAGAGTGGTCCATCCAAGGCCCACAAGGAGGGGGATGGACGTGCTGCAAACGTAACCACAGTGGCTCCGGGCACCTCAAGTAGCCCAGGGACCAAATCCTTTCCTGCTTTTAGTCTGAGCTAGCGTATTTCTCAGATACCAAGACCCTTCCTCTGACCCCAGCTTCGATTCTGATCCCAGACCTCCCTCCTCAGACTGCAGACCCTTCCGCTGACCACAAGCCCCTACTTGACCTCATATCTTTTTTTCTGGTTCCAAACTCCTCCAACCTCAGTCCCCTCCTTGGACTGCAAGATATTCCTTCTATGACTGCAAACATCTCTGCTGATCCCTGGCCTTCTTTCAACTTCAGACTCTGCTTTAAACCCTAGTGGTGGTGGTTATGAGCCTTTGAGTAGGTTCTGACTCAAAGCAACCCTATATAGTTTTGTTGTTGCTAAGCTCCAACCAGTCACTTCTGACTCATTGTAATGTTGTTG